TTAGGGTTTAGGGTTTCCTTTTAGGGTTTAGGGTTTAGGGTTGAGGGCTTAGGGTTTAGGGTTTAGGGTTGAGGGCTTAGGGTTTAGGATTTCCTTTTAGGGTTTAGGGTTTAGGGTTTCCTTTCAGGGTCGAAAGAGCAAGAGCGTTGCACTACGAGCATGTAATCAGAGCGCATGGGTCGGTCACAGCTTGCGCAGATGATCTCACATGCATTGGGCTAGACTTCGGTTTTGGGTGTCTAGGTTTTGTGGCCACTTCTCCCACTCGTTTGCAAACGTGGGAGATTGCATGTTTTGGGGCCTGCTGAAACGCGGACAATCCGCGGAGCTGGTGTCGTGTGCTTGCCGCCTGTTGCCACATAGGGCGTTCCAGATGCCGGCAGCCACCGTTGAGACGCTTGTGAGTCAGGTGGTTGCCGAGTGAATGCCAAGCGTATGCATTGATTATGCCACGCAGCATCCCGTGCTTGCTTGCTTGCTGTCTGCTTGCTGTGATCAGTTCACTTGCACCACTTGTTGCGCAGGGCCGTTTCTGCCGGTGCAAATGCTCATGATCGTGTGAAGCGGCGGCCTCATGTCCTCATGTGACTTGCATGAGACTGCCTGCACCATCCTAACTTCTCCGAGGGTTCGCATGAGGAGGTCCTTCTGTTCATGCTGCTGGGTATTCCAGTTCACGGGGCTGAAGAATGACCGTCTAGGAACAACATGAACACGCACCAACACGTCACCGTCCTCAACCCAAAAGTCCTCGGCATGCTACGGCTCTCTGTTCACCCCGCTCACTTGTTCTGCTCACGGCGACTGGCCCCACAGGTGTGCTGAAACCTCTGCAGCTGCATCAACTGCTAATTGTTGGGGTCACCAGCCCAAAGCAACCCCCCAGTCTCGAGCTGAGAAGGGGGGATTGCCGGGCAGCGAGTTTCGAGTCAAGGGCATGATCATGGTTGCCCACAGCCGCAACTCGGAGTGCCTTCAGCATGATCCTTTTTTGGTGGTTCTGAGGGACCTCGGGTTCCCGTTGCGAGCAACGGCGAGTTGGAGGACGAGATCGTCGATGAGGGCACTGACGATGGCCTGTACCATAGCTTCCTGCAGTCTCTCTGTGGTCTGGCTGGGTATGTCTAAGCGTGTCCGCTTTGATGAGCTCCTGATTGTACGATGCGAATGCATGGTGTGTTCTGTACTTCTCTTTCAACCTGTCCACTCTCATGAGAACAGTGGACCCGGGAAACCTGGGTGTTCGAGTGCGTGTTTGGACTTGTCTGTCTCCGCACGTAATAGTAATTGTGCTTGGTTCAGGAGGTTTCGCCCATAGCTCTCGTTCTCCGTCTGTCTCTCTGCGCGACATGGGAGTTCCCATACACACACACACACACACACACATTTACCAACTGCACACGCATCAATATCCACATCAAGCACATACCAAGACTTGCCACTCCCGCAACAGGGCCTACTGCGCCTGAGCTTTGCGCCATCCAGCGCAGCGGATGCGGTGGCTTCCACAAGCCACTTCTTGGAGGCAGCGTCGGTTTTTCAGGGGTCTGCAAGACATCCGTGGCTCTAAGGCGGCGGCGGGCGGCGGCTTGGATGTGGTTGGGTCCTGCACAAACGTGCAGTAGCCCACTTTCCAAACAAGCCTCCGCAAGCTGCCTGAAGCCACGACCGCGCGATGTGTTGCTCGGACCTGACCATCCGTTGCAAGGGGGGTGCAACCTGCCGTAAGTGCATGATCTGCCTCCAGGGGTCTTCTTGCACATCACACCACCTGGCGCCGTCTCGCTGTCTTGCTGCCCGCGTTTTTAGATGCCCTGCCTCTAAGGTTTAGGGTTTAATGTTTCTTTTAGGGTTTAAGGTTTCCTTTCAGGGTTTAAGGTTTAGGGTTTAAGGTTTCAGGTTTTCCTTTTAGGAACCGTTTCCTTTTAGGTTGTTAAGGGTTTACCGGTTTTAAGGTTAAGGGTGCGGGTTTTCGTTTTAACGGGTTTAGGCTTCAGGTTTAGGGTTGAGGGCTTAGGTTTTAGGGTTTTTCCTTATAGGGTTTAGGGTTTAGGGTGTAGGGTTTTAGGGGGTAGGGTTTAATTTTTAGGGTTTAGTGTTTCGGGTTCAGGGTTCGGGTTTATGCTTTCCCTTTAGGGTTTTAGGGATTGAGGGTTAGGGTTTCCTTTCAGGGTTTAGAGGTTGAGGGTTCAGGGTTTAGGGTTTAGGGTTCAAGGTTTAGGGTTTAGGGTTTAGGGTTTTGGGTTTCCTTTCAGGGTTTAAGGTTTAGGGTTTAGGGTTTAGGGTTTCCTTTTAGGGTTTAGGGTTTCCTTTCAGGCTTTAAGGTTTAGGGTTTTGGGTTTCCTTTTAGGGAAACCCGTTTCCTTTTAGGGTTTAGGGTTAAGGGTTTAGGGTTTCCTTTCAGGCTTAGGGTTTAGGGTTTCCTTTTAGGGTTTAGGGTTTAGAACCCGTTTCCTTTTAGGGTTTAGGGTTTACGGTTTAGGGTTAAGGGTGTGGGGTTTCCTTTTAGGGTTTAGGCTTCACGGTTTAGGGTTGAGGGCTTAGGGTTTAGGGTTTCCTTTTAGGGTTTAGGGTTTAGGGTTGAGGGCTTAGGGTTTAGGGCTTAGGGTTTAGGATTTCCTTTTAGGGTTTAGGGTTTAGGGTTTCCTTTCAGGGTCGAAAGAGCAAGAGCGTTGCACTACGAGCATGTAATCAGAGCGCATGGGTCGGTCACAGCTTGCGCAGATGATCTCACATGCATTGGGCTAGACTTCGGTTTTGGGTGTCTAGGTTTTGTGGCCACTTCTCCCACTCGTTTGCAAACGTGGGAGATTGCATGTTTTGGGGCCTGCTGAAACGCGGACAATCCGCGGAGCTGGTGTCGTGTGCTTGCCGCCTGTTGCCACATAGGGCGTTCCAGATGCCGGCAGCCACCGTTGAGACGCTTGTGAGTCAGGTGGTTGCCGAGTGAATGCCAAGCGTATGCATTGATTATGCCACGCAGCATCCCGTGCTTGCTTGCTTGCTGTCTGCTTGCTGTGATCAGTTCACTTGCACCACTTGTTGCGCAGGGCCGTTTCTGCCGGTGCAAATGCTCATGATCGTGTGAAGCGGCGGCCTCATGTCCTCATGTGACTTGCATGAGACTGCCTGCACCATCCTAACTTCTCCGAGGGTTCGCATGAGGAGGTCCTTCTGTTCATGTTGCTGGGTATTCCAGTTCACGGGGCTGAAGAATGACCGTCTAGGACCAACATGAACACGCACCAACACGTCACCGTCCTCAACCCAAAAGTCCTCGGCATGCTACGGCTCTCTGTTCACCCCGCTCACTTGTTCTGCTCACGGCGACTGGCCCCACAGGTGCTGAAACCTCTGCAGCTGCATCAACTGCTAATTGTTGGGGTTACCGGGAGCCCAAAGCAACCCCCCAGTCTCGAGCTGAGAAGGGGGGATTGCCGGGCAGCGAATTTCGAGTCAAGGGCATGATCATGGTTGCCCACAGCCGCAACTCGGAGTGCCTTCAGCATGATCCTTTTTTGGTTCTCAGGGACCTCGGGTTCCCGTTGCGAGCAACGGCGAGTTGGAGGACGAGATCGTCGATGAGGGCACTGACGATGGCCTGTACCATAGCTTCCTGCAGTCTCTCTGTGGTCTGGCTGGGTATGTCTAAGCGTATCCGCTTTGATGAGCTGCTGATTGCACGATGCGAATGCATGGTGTGTTCTGTACTTCTCTTTCAACCTGTCCACTCTCATGAGAACAGTGGACCCGGGAAACCTGGGTGTTCGAGTGCGTGTTTGGACTTGTCTGTCTCCGCACGTAATAGTAATTGTGCTTGGTTCAGGAGGTTTCGCCCATAGCTCTCGTTCTCCGTCTGTCTCTCTGCGCGACATGGGAGTTCCCATACACACACACACACACACACACATTTACCAACTGCACACGCATCAATATCCACATCAAGCACATACCAAGACTTGCCACTCCCGCAACAGGGCCTACTGCGCCTGAGCTTTGCGCCATCCAGCGCAGCGGATGCAGTGGCTTCCACAAGCCACGCCTTGGAGGCAGCGTCGGTTTTTCAGGGGTCTGCAAGACATCCGTGGCTCTAAGGCGGCGGCGGGCGGCGGCTTGGATGTGGTTGGGTCCTGCACAAACGTGCAGTAGCCCACTTTCCAAACAAGCCTCCGCAAGCTGCCTGAAGCCACGACCGCGCGATGTGTTGCTCGGACCTGACCATCCGTTGCAAGGGGGGTGCAACCTGCCGTAAGTGCATGATCTGCCTCCAGGGGTCTTCTTGCACATCACACCACCTGGCGCCGTCTCGCTGTCTTGCTGCCCGCGTTTTTAGATGCCCTGCCTCTAAGGTTTAGGGTTTAAGGTTTCTTTTAGGGTTTAGGGTTTCCTTTCAGGGTTTAAGGTTAGGGTTTAAGGTTCAGGGTTTCCTTTTAGGGTTTAGGGTTTACGGTTTAGGGTTAAGGGTGTGGGGTTTCCTTTTAGGGTTTAGGCTTCACGGTTTAGGGTTGAGGGCTTAGGGTTTAGGGTTTCCTTTTAGGGTTTAGGGTTTAGGGTGTAGGGTTTAGGGTTTAGGGTTTTAGGTTTTAGGGTTTAGGGTTTCGGGTTCAGGGTTTCGGGTTTATGCTTTCCTTTTAGGGTTTAGGGTTGAGGGTTTAAGGTTTAGGGTTTCCTTTCAGGGTTTAAGGTTTTGGGTTCAGGGTTTAGGGTTTCCTTTTAGGGTCTAGGGGTTAGGGTCCAGGGTTCAGGGTTTAGGGTTTCCTTTTAGGGTTTAGGGTTTTGGGTGTAGGGTTCAGGGGGTTTTGGGTTTAGGGTTTCTTTTCAGGGTTTAGGGTTTAGGGTTCAGGGTTTAGGGTTTAGGGTTTTGGGTTTCCTGTGAGGGTTTAAGGTTTAGGCTTTAGGGTTTCCTTTTAGGGTTCTTTGTTGGGCTTCCAACACCTGTGAAAATGAGCGTGCCAAGCGACCAAAACTGGAGCGTGCTAAGCGACCCGAAAAAAAGTTGGCTAAGCGACCCCTGTACCGAGGTATCCCCTCATGACTCTTCTGGCCAAGGCAGGCAGATCTTCAGCGTCCTGAGCCTGCAGCTCATACTGCTGGCGCTCGGCAAGCTGCATGCTGGACAGCAGCTTGGCCTCAATTGACACCCGCAACTCTCCCTCCAGCTACACGGCTCGACACATGTGCATCGGGGCTCTGGCTTCCATCTGTGCTCTTGCTTCCTCATCAGCTTGAAGCTGCAGTGCAAAACGCGCAGCGCTGGCCTTGCAAAGCTCAAGGGCGCGAAGAGTTCAGCTGATACAATCCTTCGTCCCGTAGTGCCTCCAGCTGAGCATTCTCAGCCTCCTGGACGGCACGCTCGGCTGTTGCCTGTGCCCAGTACTGCACTCTGTGGGTTGCTCGAAACGCATACGCATTGTCCATGGCGCACTTCGAAGCGAAGCGCTGCATGCTCCTCCAGTGCTCAAAGTAGGAGACTCGAAAGCATCCAGTAGAGAGCATCCAAGCGCTCAGTCCTCCAATTCGGCACGCAAACGTCCACATCGGACCTCAGAGCTGCAAACTGCGCTGCATCTTGTCCTACTAGTGCTCGCAAGAACTCAGACCATGGCTTCAAGATCTGCACTCAATGCCTTGCGAGCAGCCTTGTCACAGGAATGTAGCACCACGTTGACCAATTGGAATGGTGCAGCATCGCTTACTCACCCTGGCCTTCTCCACCGACAAATCCCCTCGGGATCGAACCACGGCAGCCTGCAGTGCAGTTTCGCTTGCGTCTCTGCAAGCGCCAAGGGCCACCAAAAAGCACCTCGAGTTCCCGAAGTTGGCGAAGCTGCTCGGCCTTTGCAACCTGGCAGGCAGGATCCAGATTTTGGCAGCAAAGGTACCGGCCGGTACCACCACCACGTCCTCTCTCTTTAGAGGAGATGTTCTCTTCAGACCGAACACAAGGTGTATTACAAGCTTCTGCCCCACTGTGTTGCCGTGAACGGTGTTCTTCCCGAAGCCCGTATACGCGCAGCACGCCCTCATTCCCAAACGGCCGAGGTCGCCAGGCAAGCTCCAGACTCAGGGCTTATTATTTCTGCATGAAGCAGAATGAACCATTGTCTTCTTGGGCCATATGACTCCTTGCGAGGCCCAAGGGGTGTCGGGCCTCGCGTGTTGACATTGATCCACAATAGTGCTGTGAGCCTCTTATCTCATCTGTCTCACACGGAGTTTGCGTGGGCGTTCCAGAGTACATACTTGGTACTTGTACTGGGAGTCTAGAAAGTCATCCTGTGCATATATACATGCAAGCACACGTACTGGAAAACGCACAAATTCGTGCATAATATTCATATAAATGTGTAAAACGTGTATAATATACAATTTACTGCATATACGTTTGCAACTACATAGAGAATAGCGAAAGCGAGAGAGAGAGAGAGAGACAGATAAATAGAAAGAAAGACAGACAGATAGAAAGATAAGAGACATAGAGAGAGACGGATAGATAGATAGATAGATAGATAGAGTTAGATAGATAAAGAGAGAGATAGACAGAGAGATAAAGAGATAGATAGATGAAGAGATAGATAGCTAGGTAGATAGATAACTGGTTAGATTGAGAGAAAGAGAGATAGATAGAGAGAGAGTGAGAGATAGAGAGATAGATGTATAGATGGATAGATACAGAGATGGATAGAGAGATGGATAGATATGTAGGTAGATAGATAGATAGATAGAGGGATAGAGAGACAGAGAGGTAGAGGGATAGACAGAGAGAGAGGTAGAGAGATAGAGAGAGGTTATAAACACTGAGATCTTCCTAGATCTGCATCACATCCTGCCCCTCGCATGCAAGGTCTCGGACACAAATCAGCTAGGGCAGCTGAAGCGGTGGAAAGCAGGCAGAGCTGGAGCCTGCAGCTTGCGCAGCGCCGCAGAACCTTTACCGGCATTCTTTAGAAAGACTTGCGCTCAGCCGACTGTGAGGTGGAGTCCATTTCAGCGCGTGGCGCTCTGCGTGCAACTGCTTCTGTGCCGCTGCCTTGATGGTTGTTGCTTGGCCGGCAGTTCCACAGCCAAAATGTGCTCTTCACCACGACCACGCCAGTTGGCCTCCTCCCTGGCAGCTGCCTCCTCGCGTTTTGCTACTGCTGCCTGAGTCGATTGGGATGCCCAGTAGTCACAACAATTGCTCGTCCACCTCTTCTGCAAGCTCTCGAGTTGCATCGCGAAATTTCAGCTCCTGCAGGGCACAGACGAAGGTCTGGCAAAACCTCGCCTTGACAGCTCTGCAGCGAAGCAGGAGGGCCTGCTTGCTGCATAGTTCCTGTTGCTCAGCGGTGCTGGACAGAAGCCGGCGGCACTGCTCCAACTCCAGCGTGGCTGCCTGACAGGCGCCAGAAAGCACTATAGAGCTCTGCGTACAGAGTAGCGGCTGCTCCTTCTGCTCTCTTTGAGCATCAAGAAGGCCCATGCCTGCGAGCAGAAAGCTTGGCAGCCCTTCCACGAGTGACTCCGGGGCCAACACCAACTGTGTCTTGCTGGTGTTGGTAGGCCTGAAGAGCAAGAACTAAGAGGGCTACAATGGGTGTCCCGTGAGCTTTGCAAACGACGGGTGCCTGCACCTCCTGCTCAGCCACTGAGAGCTCCTGAGAACACGAGTACAAAAGGCGTGCATTTCAGCTTGAGGGCCGTTGTGCCTGCTTCAGCAGCCAATCTGGGGGTGCCTTCCAACTAAGGGATCCACAGCTCTCTGGAGCAGTGCTGTTCGGGTGCACCTTCGCGTTCTGAATGGCCGGAAGGAACTTCTTGAGGGCGAGGCTAAGCGCTTGGACCTTCACTTTCTGTCAGATGGCTCGCTTGACTTGGACACGGCTTGCTTTTCGCGACTGCTGCATCTCTACACAAGGATAAGAGTATGCAGAATCAAGAAACCCGTCCCAGCCTCACGCCTATGCTCTTCCGCTTGTTGCTCAAGCGCCTTGGCAGGAAACACAAGAAGCTACACTGATCCATCAAACTCAAAAGCTTTAGTCCCAAGCAGTCCTCTCCTGTAGTAGCCTTTCTCTCTGCCGCATCAGCTCTTCCGTTTGGGAATGAAGCCGTCGGTCTGCCTGCCAAGGGGGCAAGGACATTAAAGTTTGGACTTCGACATGCTGCATGTGTCGTCACGAGCTGCACAGTAGTACACAACACAAGCTCGTTTTATCAACTTTTCTCCGGCGTATCGCGCAGTTTCTGATGAAGGTGTGACTCAGTTTCAAGGGCCACCCTGCTAGTGGTGACATTGTGCCGCCACGCAAGGTTGTCCATCTCGGTTGCTGGGCAAACGGGTGCCTTGGCGATGCCAAACTCAGCACCGACAAAGTGCACCAACCTCGAAAAGCAGATGCTCACACCCACCAGCCATCAGCGTTGCCAGTCATCCAATTGAAGGAGGCTGTGTAACCATGAATTCTGCGGCACTCTACCTGTCAGCGCGCTTGCTGGCGAGGACATGGCAAACCGACGCATTCACGCTGTGGATGCCAAGACTCGAGCCCACACCACGCCCAGCCGGATGCCAAAGCCGGAGCTCAGGACTTTTGGCCGAGGCCTAACCGGCCTAGCCGCGATGGCGCACCGACTCCACCAAACCCTTCACCTTGCCTTGCATCATGCTCAGCAAGCTGTTTGTTGACTGCGTGCCATCATCTTCCATGGACTTGTTGGACATCAGCATTGCTGTCCTAGAGTGGTCGAAGTTGGAATTGGCGCCCTCTTTGGCCTTGGGAGTGCGGTCGGAAATGAGCATCGCTGTGCGTTGACGTCGAGCTTGCTTGGCACCTGCTTTGCGTGCCTCTGGGCTGTTTCTGCCAGATGCACTGCTCCGTGGAGAACAATCCAACATCGCAGAGCGATAGCGGGGAACTGTCGCCTTTTTCTCCGGACTCTGCTCCTTGCCCGCGCGTGGGCTCCTTCCGTAGCCAGCGCTGCTTCCGTTGTTGCGGAGAGCAGCACTTGGAAGAACAGGACCTTGGGCAATCATGGCGCTTGGGACCTAAGATCTGGCTTGGTTGCAGTTCGCTGCTTTGCAGCCACTTCGAACCAGTACGCCTGGTGAAAGGCTGGGATGGGCATATCTGAACTCGCTGTTGCGCGGATGGTGGCAAGTCTTGCAGGATTGCTCTTCGTCACAAAGCCTCCTGTGTTTGCAGCTTTCCTTCTGCTTTCACTCGTCGAAACTGCAGAAGCTGCGTCTCCAACTTCCTGTCTGCTGCAGTGAACTTGCTGCAAAATGCTTGTGAAAGCTGCTGCCGAGGAACTTTATGCAGTTTCGCGACACCTAGTGGGGCATGCACGGAAGGTGTGAGAGGGCCACAAAGTGGAACCAACTGTGCCATGATACTTGTAGTTCAAGCAAATAAACTGTACACGCCCACCTTAAACGCAACGAACAACAGAAATCTTTGCCTCCAGCTGCTGCTCCCAGCGCTGCTTCTCCTTCAAAGCCAAATCCGCCTTCAGAGGTACCATCAACGTTTTGCAACCGAAAGCCTGTGATGATTGAAAACTCGCAGCAGAATGCATTGTGTTCCTCAATGCGGAGCTGAGCAAGGTCAGCTCCTTCCATTTGCAGCTCCTGCACGAACAAGCGAGCAGGTACGACGATGCAACATCATGTCCGGTCGATGCTCGGCCGTGCTTGGATGCTTTGGTCCGGATCGCGAAACTACCTTATTCTCCCGAAGCGGCGCGGCCTTGTGTTCAAGACCACCGCAGTTTCCCTTATTGTCGCATGTTGATGTCGTCCCTCTGCCACGCAAGACCCACCCACATATCATACACAGCGGACCGGCCCCTGCGAACGTTGGGTTGGGCATGGTTGGGCTTCTACGTAATGCGTCAAATCACATGCACCGGGCTCGGCACGTCTTCGGTGAGCACATACGCAGGAATCGAAGTGCATAGGACATTCACATAGAACTAGCAGCTAGGACCACCGAACCGCGAAGCACAGAACAGCAACACTCATTGATAGACTCAGATAGAGTTCAGTTTCGCTGTCCTCCTGCAACTCCCTGGCCTCGCGGAGTGCCTGCGCAAGAATGGAAAAGTGCCGTCACGCCGCACTGTGCTTGCCGCCCATCCTCGGCCAAGCGGGCATCTTTCCGGGCCTGAGAAAGGAAACTCGGCAAGGGCCGGCGGCCACGCCAAAGGAAGTTAGCTAGGAAAGCTGGCTCTGGTGCCTCAGAGGGGGGCTTCATCCTCGACATCTGCCGCCCAATTAGACTTAATTTTTTTGCACAGTCAGATCAGTAGTTCTGTCAATTCCGCGGAGCTTCTTGATTCATGTGGAACTCGACCCCTTCTCAAAACAAAACTTCTCAAATAAAAAATGGAGCTCGGCGCTTGCTCCAAGAGCTTGAGCCCATGTACCTAAATTTACAGCTGATGTCATGGATTTCCAACAATCGCATGGACACTCCAGTTTTTTCTGGGATACCGAGACCGGCGTTTTGATCCGAGCCGCTCGAAATTTAAGCGGCCTGGGGCTTGACAGGCGAAATCACCAGCCTAGTGCGTTAACTCCTCTTTGGATCCCCCGTGGTCTCTGCCCAGGAGATCCCAGGAGGATATCAAGCTATGGACATGTGTCGCGGCATGCCTACTTCAGCAAGGGCCGCAAGTCTCTGCGACACGTGGGGCACAGCGAGGCCTGCCCAACTTGTTCAATGACCGACCGAAATGACCAGTACTGAGGCCATGCCTTCTTCAGCCACGGGAGGACGCAGCTGAGGTGAAACACGTGCTGAGGGGCACAGGGCAGCCTGCAGCGGGACGTGCCAAGCTATCCACATCCACATCAAAGCAAGTTAGGCCAAAATTAGTGACACACCCCCAAAAAGTCGCACTCGTCCTCAAGTGTGTATGCGTTTTGACTGCACACGGAGAACCACAGCCTATTTGAGATGCCAAATTTGGAAGGCAATTCTGCAAAACCTACAGAAAGTACGCAGCATTCCAAAATAGATTGCCAAAAAAACTGAAAAACAAAACAAACGAAGCATGTCTGTTGTTGCGTTGGTTTTTGGAATGGGTACTTTCCTTGGATTTTGGCAGAATTGCCTTCCAAAAGTGGCAACTGTCACACGGTTTCGCTCTGGAAGGGCGGAGTAGAAACACTATCCATTTTCTACGGTCGTCAGTCATTGTAGGATAACATGCACATTGACAACAGAATGTCTAATGCGTCTGACATCTGGCTCTGTCTCACGGATTTGGACACTGAGCTGTCAGTCTTGAGTCTGGGCTCGAAAACCGCTTTACCAACCCCAAACCCCATGCCAAGCCAAAAGCAGGTGTCTCGGGCTTCACAAGTCCTGACACAACCCGCCCATCTGAAGCCGAGAGCGGGGTTGGAATTGCAGTGTTGGAAATCAAGCAGCGTACTGTCTATGCCTGTTTGGGGGAGTCCAGGCATTTGCAGACGGGTGCCGGCGGTCGACGCTCTCCAAAACCGGTCGATCTTGGCTTGCCAAGAAACTACGCACATATGCGAACCTGTCATGAAGAGTCCCCTGTGAAAGATGTGAAGGACAAGGCAAAGAGGGTGGCCAGCCCGAGTTGCAATTGGGCGGTGCTGTGCGTTTACGCCTACGCACAAGCATGGCGTACGCAGTCCTCACGGAGCGGTTTCGGGTGTAGTACCTGACCTCTTCGCTTTCGTGGTGTGGGGCCTCGGTTGGCAATCCGAAAACTCTCTGCGCCGTGGGTGGGGCAAGCGCAATGCTTGGCATGGCCTGCTCAGTCCTACTCCTTAGATTGGATTTCGCCAATTGCTGACAAGGACGGTGACAGCGCGGTACGTTAATTCTGCGACGTTGGTGCAGACCGGCGCCGCTAGGAATGGTCGACGCTGCACACAGCCATGACAGGATCTGCAAAGTGATTCTTCCTGGATCCTGCCTGATGCAACAGCTTGAGGCATCTGGGGCCTTGACTGTGCATGGAGACCCCTTCCCCCTCGACTTCACGGAAGCTGCAGTCAGGTCGTCTGGTCGTCTCTGTGCTCGCGGCAGCGAAGCAGACGGCGCACTCGAGGTGCTCTGGCTCCTGGCCTGCCGGAACAGAGAAGCGAAGCACGCCACGAACCCTCTTCCGCACCCTTCAGCACCCTGTACTTTCTGCTGCGCCTTCACGGAAGTCAGGGGAATCTGGCTGCCACCTTCTGGAACTGTGATATCACCCTCAGGATTGCATGAAAGGAGCTGCTCCACTGCCTGTGTTTGCTCTGCAGAATGCGCAGCTGTTCATGAGACAGCCCCGGAACTGCCTCGCGATACGTCACATCAGTTCCCGTCGGCATCGATTGCGTCAGCCTCGTGCCTTCTTCTTTCCATTCTCGTTGACCTGGAGAAGCAGGTGCATCGGACCAACCGTCTGATGAGAAGTTAAGCGCTCCGGACCGTCACTGTCGTGAAGAGGTCTCCACGAAGGGAGCCCCAGGCACGCTGATCCTGAGACTTGCTCGATTCACGCTTCAGTGAAACCAGCATCATCGTCCTTTGATGTTACAACGTTTGACCTCTGGCCAAGAAGTGCTTGTCTATGCTTGTCTGGTAGGATTCTGTGACTCGATCGTCGTGCCGGTTGAGTGTCTTACGTTTTGTGTGAACGGGACATGAAGACGAAATCGTCTGACGTTGACGATCAACATTGTTCAAGCCTTTGGGTTCTGCGGTGTCTGCAGTCTATGCTCCAAAAAAACCCTGGCCCGCCTCTGAGAGAAGCCATTGCCTGGCAGCCTCTACTGGCCGAACCGGCCTCAAAGAACTGCAATGCGCACCAGTCTACGACTCCACCGCACTGCACAACTTCAGCGCCCTGCCGTGGTGCCCGCCAAGCATCTGCGTAGCCCTCCACGACATCATCTCGCACACGGTCTCGACTCCTGCAAACAGCGCTGCCCGAGACATGCATGAAGTTCTTTTGGCGGTGATCCTGTCAACAGCAGACTGCCCATCAGCGCCTGCAGAAAGCTTGCCACGAGCACCCTCTCATTTGCTCTGACATACTCGAGTCGACGCACTCGATTGTGCTGATCTGAGTGCTGCACGAAGGACGTACGAAGCTGCGCAAGCCTCGACAAAAACACAGCTACTGCATTCGTGGAAGCACCTGGTTCACCAGAAGCAACATATTCACATCCGGCAACTCGTCGCTGCTCCTACAGACTCGAGGCCCCGACAGGATGGAAGCGACGGTAAATCGCTGCGCCTGCACACAGTGCTTGTCCAGTTCTTCTGAAGCAACATGCAGAACAACCATGAATCTTATTGCACATGCTTCACGAAACATGTAGTGCTATCGAAAGTCTTGCATGCTCTCGAACGCACTGCAATTTCTGCTTCACCCTTACTGCCACGCCTGTCCAGACCGTAACCTCCTCGTTCAGATCTCTTAGAGGCTGCCTGTACTACCGCAAATCTCGGTGACACGGCAGGGAGTCCCGGGTTCCGAGGCAGCAGCCCACAACCATAGCAGAAGTGGCCCAGGTCGTTGCGCTGTGCTTGCCTACAGCCACTTCTGGAGGCGACCCAGAAGTCAGGTTTTCGAGCTGCCTTTGCCGGACAGCCCAGCCCGAAGAGCGTTTGTTGGCCACGACCTGTCTCTGAGGGCAGCTGGAGATTCAAAACGAAAGAGCCGCTCGGTGCCTCGTCCAGAGCAATGCCCTCTCCGATGAGTTCTCTCTGGATGGCCTGCAAAACAACTGGGAAGTGAGTCTCTTCAACTCCCGACTTATGCCACAATGAGCCTGGTCAATGGGTGACAGCGGCGGCGGGGCCGATCTGCTTTTCTGAGCAGTGCGCGAACTCCTTGTAGAGCATGATGCCTCGAATGCAAGCCAATTGAAAAAGAGCTTCCTACTTCTTCCGGGCCGAGATACTCTTGACTCGGAATCTCGGAGGGCAGATGCATAGGCCTGGCACGCATGGTATGGCCATGACCGAAGTTCATGCGTCGGAGCCATTCCTGGTCATCCTGGCTGATCAAAGCTGAAGCTCCACTTTTGCGCGTGCGCCAAGTCTCGCGTTGGGCAGCTGCTGAAGACTTGCCTGAAGTCTAGCAGCAAACTCGCGATCTTGACTTCTGGAGTCTCAAGGCTTTTTTTACACGAGACCGCATTTCTCTGACTAGGGTTAGAATCACTGGCTGGCCGGTTTCTGAGCTCCCGGCTTTGCATCTGTACCGTCAGAACTGGCCACCCACCAGTGCTTTCACACTGGGTAGCACTCGCTGGCGAGAGCTGCTGCTTCGCTAGAATCACTACCGCGGCATCTAGAGCCGCATCATGTCAGTGCCTTTGCTTGCATCGGCAAAACAATGGTGAAATTGCTGGGTGTGCTATGGTCTGTTGAAAACCTAGCCGTATGAACACTTCCGACTGCCTACGTGGTGCGTGAGACAATCTGCAAGCTCACTTCTTTTTGGCGGGAGCCTGCACACCAAGACTGCAGATGACTGCAGGGGAGTGGGCAGGCACGCATGAAGCAGGAGCAGTCCTTGCTATCAGCGTCCTCACTGAGGCTCATGAGAAGCGACTCCGTCGAGAGCACCATCCGATTAGCGGACCTGCTCTTCCGGACTTCCGACAGTCCCCTCCATATCTGAACTGCTTAGTCTGTGTTCTGAGATGAGCACTTGGAAAGCAAGCTAGAGATCTCCTTCGCAACCGAAATCTTTCGCAGTTCGACGAAACCTGGATTGGCCTCTCGAGTTTCACAGGTTTCAATATGATTCAGCGACACGAGTGGGAAATATGGGCGACTGTGCCTTGATCGCATCACCAATCATCCTTGCCGACCTCAGTAACCCGAAAACCAAACAGCTCTCCCTCATGGCAGAACTAAAATGGCTGTTCTTAGTGAGTGGCTCTTTCTCGCCTTCGGCATGGATGATAGTTCGCTTCTTCTCCTCCTGAGCCTGGCAGGACAGAGCTTTCAACGGCGCTGGCGCAGTGCCAGCCGGTCCCTGGCCCACTGGCTCCGGCCTTCAAGACCATGTAGCGAGCACGTTCTGCCTGCTGCTGTGCCACCTGCTTCTGCTCAACAGCCTGCGAAGCAAGATCTCTGTCTGCTTCAAATGCCAGTTTGCAAACAGCACGTGTTCTCTTTAGCATGCCGATGGGAGGAAGTCGAGCAAGCCCTTTTTCCGAAAAGAGATGTAGTTCCACGCGGGTGCTGCGAAGCCTTTACAGTACAAGGCTGTCAGATTGGGCCGACAACGAGTTCTGCACAGTTCAAACGGTGCTCATCACTTGCGGCCGTCATCGACATAGTTGTCTGGCAGCTCAGCCTTTGTCGTCAGAAGCTCCTGGCAATGTGGCTGCAAGCTTAAAAGTAATGCAGGTTCTGCGGCACACTGGAATTTACAGTCAGCGGCCTCCGAGATATAGCCCCACCTCGAAAATCACAACACCACCGCATGCTGCATATCAGGAGTTGTCACAACACAGGCTCACGACACTGAATCGCAAATCCTACCAGCTCGTTCTAGCTGAGGTCGAATCACAGACTTTGCTCCAGCGGCTAGGCACTTCTCTCTGCCATTCAACGCCTCGGCAGTGAGAAGTTTCGCTGCGCAACCCCTTGAAACCAGGCTGACGGCCTTGAGCTCGACCATGCAACTGCATTCCACCACTTCCGCCTGGCAAACTGCACAGAAGCTGAAATGCACGGTTTCACATCAAACATCACCTCACAGGCTTCCATGAGCTTGATACCGGCACAGAGTGTCCCTCCTCACCAAGACGAGGCTGCGGTGAGCTTGAGAGGCTGGTTCGATTCAAAGGCTCCGATCTTCAACAAACTCGAACTGTAAGTTCCAATGCGGCCCTCTGGGGAAAGCTTGGTCGGACTTTGCATGCTTAAGAGCATGCGAAAATTTGAAGTACAATGGTGCGCACGCCATAATCTTAAAGCTACCGCTTGGCTTACACACGGCAAAAGTCTCGCAGGCTCTCCGATACATTCCAAGAGATCGAGTGTGAATACTAACTTGACTACATTGTTCAATCAATGGACCTTGCGGAACCTAGCTCGACAGAGCCGAGCTCTGTTGCCAAAGAGCCAGCTTAACTCCGGTTTGCGGTAACCTGGGTGGAAGGTGTTAGAACATGTTGGTTTGAAAGATTCAACTTCGGATTAAGCATCTCTGCTTGACACCACGAGGACAGTGCGATTGATCGGACGTGGCCGAGACATGGGCAGAGTCCTGTGGCAATCAGGTCGTCAATGAGGACGACTTTGTCGCCCTTGACAACGGCTCCCTGCAAAGGAATCATTCTAAATCGCCAACAGCAGGTGGAATGTCAGCGAGCTGTTCGCAGATGGCAGAGGCCTTCTGCACGCACATCTCGTCCAAGCCGTCGTACTCCTAGATGCACACTGAAAAGTTTCGCGATTTCTCTCGCTCACTCTCCCGTTCTATCCCTCTCTCTCCTTTGTGTACGGGCCGCTGGAGATTGTGTTTGGTAGCTTTCCAGCCTCGCAACATCACACAAGACAAGAATGCTGGAGCAAGAGTCCGGATGACGATGCACGCACAGTGGGGCCTTGCGGAGCATCACGAAAGGCACGCCAAGCTTGATGGAAACAGGCGTGAAAAGGAAACCACGAGCCTTTCCGGAAACAGCCGCAAAACAGCTTCCTCCAGCCGTCAGTCTTCTCGAAAGGACCTACGTCAGCGCCTCAAAGCCGCAGATCTTTGTCACGCCCATTTTTCGGAATCGCTTGGCCCAGACTGCACACATCGCATTGAGAAGCTTCGGGTGCTGCAGCAGGCCCTGAATGTCATAGAACCTGACAGAACGAGCACGATGGAAGGGATCGAACATCAGCCACAGGCCAGTCCTCTCGATCTTCTTGAACGGGAAATAGGGTATATGCAAAGCAATCTCCTGACTGTCTCACTCTCTCAAGAAGGGGACCGTACGCATGCTTTCTCAAACGTGTCACACAAAACTACCGCTTCACAGACTTGCAAGCAAGCTGCCTTCGCCAGGGGCCCATCAGATTCCATGTCTCCCTGCTGCAACCGCTTCGCTTCGGCCTTGGGCTTCGCCTTCGCCTTTGCTTTCGGCTTCGCTGTTGCCGCCTTGCTGCCCTTTCCGGGCACCTGACAGAGAAGAGCAAGCTATCGGAGGGCTGCACACAGGCAACCCTTCTAAAGTAAACGCAACAGAATGCCATATGATGAAAAGAAGAGTCTCAGAGGCTGAAAGGAGTTCGCCTGCTTCGCAGACTCCGCTGGAGTAGGATCCTTGCTGACCTGGGCAGATTTGCACGGCACGGCACTCTCGCATGTGCTTCCAAGATAGCGCCTGCGCAGCCTTACGACTGCTTCTCGTCTTTGCCGGCTTGCACTCATAATCCCAGTATTCCTGTGGTAGGGCTCTTCGGTTGTCTTTGGTGGATCCGACACCGACGATGCAGCCCTGCATGTCCTCCAGCTGCTTCATCTTGTACTTGCCACGGTAGAACTCCTTCGCTTCAATTGGTCTCTACAAGGGCAGTTGCCGGAGCCACTTCAGGAACACTCCACTTGCAACTGTGTGTGAAGCCAGGTTTCTGCCAGTTCATCCCAGGTGTACGCACAGCCATCTTCGGGATCAATGCGCTTCTCCTCGGGTATACGTAGTTTACCGCATATCTGGCAAAGTACCTGCGCCAAGAACCACCCAATTCAGGCAAGAAGCCTCGGGGTCGTAGTTGGGATCTTCCCTCCTTCCCCAAGCTTTACATTACCCGATCTTCTGCAGAGGTGCCGTTATATCTGACCCACGTCGTTTTCCTATAAAATGTTGGCTGCTTGAAATCATGCACTGAATACAGTCTTCAGTCGAGTATCTTCAGGGCTGCACCCCATCTCTCGTCTCCCGCCTAACACACCAGGCATTCAAAATCAAGCAAGACAAAACAAGCGTTCTTCAGCGCAGAACACTTGGCGCCTTCCCGACAGTGTACTTCCCTCCTCCGCCAGACTTCCTGTGCTACTGCGGCTCACGCTACCCGCATCCTCCGACCGTGCTTGAACCGAGCATCTTTTCCGGCTGTCTGACAGAAGATCGCGGGTTGGCACTGTGCCGTTCCTGACAAAGCCGAAGAGCCCTAAGAGGTTGAAAGAGCTGAGAACACCGATAAAGTTGGAGCAGTCCTTGTCTCGGGGAGCCATGGCTTGGTCTACGTTCAAGTAGTCACAAGCTATCACATGGTCAAGTGCGAACGCTACTTGTGACTTCCTGAAGCTGCGCCTACGCTTCGAAGAGCTTGCGGCACTCTTGTGTTTTGTGTTTTTCTCTTCTGTCCATCTGCTCTTGTCTGCTTGATCAGCGAGGACCAGAGCTCGTACGGCATCCTGTGACCCGAAGCCTTCTGTGCAACGCGCAGACTTCTTGTTCTGTTTGGCCCTGCCTTTTCGTACTCAGGGCTAAAGTTCAAGTGAGTGATGGCAACGTCGTCCTGGCGAAGAACATTTTCGCAAGTAACCCTTCATGGTCACCCGTGGTGGGGAGAGGAGGAGCCCCCCTCCACGCGATTAAGACACAGGTCCCTGCTCACAATTCCTGTGTTCTCCACAGTCGAAGAAACTTGGAAAGCCACGCTACAACAAGGCTCCAGATATATCCCAGTAGCTACGATGCAAACTTGACAGATGGATGAGGCCCATGATGAATGAACTCCGAGCCACTGCAGAAACGTGCACGGATCCCTTCCCTGCAAGAGTAGCTGGGGAGACGAGGAGTATGCCGAAGTCCGATGCTCTTTGGATGAGTCGCTGTCTGATCCTCTGTGGCCGGAGGTGGCAAAGGTAATCTCTGCAAAGGTTGGCATCCAAGGTGGCTGCATTCGGCTAACCATCTCTCGCCTGAGCTCGCAAGGAGCTCTGAGATCATGCAGACGCACATAGCAACTTGGCTCACTGCTGCGTGATCAGCTGCGAGGCATTGTACTGTGCCACTACGCTCTTCAACACCTGAAGTGGGGAGCTAGCGAACCAGCAAAACTAAGGTCACTGTCGTGCCTCGTTGGCAATAGAGGGCATCACTTTGTCATCGAAGTCCAAGCCTAGGTTCCTCGCAGGACCGACATGCATCCAATGCTACTGCTGTGGTCATCGCACAACTGGCCTGTAGATCTCTGGGAGCTTCTCTGAGTCTGGCCTGCCAGTCCAACATGCCGACATGCAAGACTGTGAGCAAAAGGCTACTGGGCCGCTTGCTTGCAGAGGGCCCTGAGTGTTAGGTTGACCTGACATGGGCCCGGGCTGTGGCTTCGGCTTCGACTCATATTTCACGGACAACTTCTGTGCATCCAAGGATCCGTTTGCAAGTCTCGCGTTCCTGTGTTTGAAGTCCTCAGTTGGGCGCATCTGGTCGGGGTGGCGCCACGTCTTGAAGGCATGTGAGCTCCGGTCACCATGTGTGGTCTAGCTCGCACATCGAAAATGATGGCCCGCTCAAAATAGGGCATCATGAAGTGAACGCCTCGCCAAACAAAGCTGAGACATGGCCGCGGAAGGAATGCATAAGACATAGCGAACCGTAACCGTCTAGCTGCGATGAGCCGAACACTCACACACAGCGACTTGCTGCCTTCATGCGACTTCCGACTAAGAGAGTAGCGCACAAGAACAACGCAGTCCACCACTCTAGCATACTCTGGCTACGTCTCGGCGCCGCTCCCAGCCTTCCCTGAAGGTCTGGTTTCCGATGCCGAAGAACTTGCTGTACTGCGGAAGAATGCTGCAAAGACATGTGAGCTCACCGACGTACCACGACAGGCTGTCACGCAAGCCCGGTCCTTGATGGACATGTGGCCGGCGTCGACCGTGTAAATAGAGTTGGTAACGACATAACCAGCACCTGCCAAGACCTGATGGCAGCTACCCACCGCGACACTCGGCACCTCATCCATGTCCACAACTGCCATCCGAGACGCAGCTGCCCCTGCCGCCAAGGGCGTGCCCGTCTGCGCGACTCTCTGTAGCCTGACACCGATATTATGTTGTCTTTGGGTAATGATGAAAGAACACCGTCCTGTGTCTCTTCTATACAACAGCAACATAGTTCAATGAAGAAGGTGGATGCCCGCCCTTGACGGGTCTGTGCAGGTCCTGTGCTACTTGCTCGGCATAACACCATACAACACCGCTGTTCCCTCTCTCGTTCTCTTTCACGCGAAACTCACTATCTTCAAGGTGGGGACAGCTTGCCAATGTCGAATCGCGACCTGGCATCAGACACAGCCTCTGACTAGCAAAGCTCAGCAACGCACAGCAGCAATGCGCAGCACTGCTTCAGGGCTGGACATGGCGAGCGCGAAGGCCCAAATGACAAAACTGCAGCTAACCCTGCTTGGGCCTTCAAAGCTAAGCTGTGCCCAGAGGCGACTCGGCGAACACAAAGACAAAAGGAGCAAGGAATGGCAAGCGCCAAGTCCGTCCAAGTCGAGGTGCATCTTTGCTCGCAGAGTTCGCTGCCTTGAATCCCCTCCTACAGCACCGAACTCTGGCAACCCCAGCTCCCCAGACCGAAACCCGCCCCAGCCGGGCTTGCAGCCGGATGTCTGTAAAGTACCGGAAAAAACTGCTGGCCGCGCGCCGGCCATCGACCCTCACTGCGCCTCATTGCGCTGAGTCATGCCCAGTTTGCCGCTCGGGCTCACTGCACCTCTGCGAGGCCTAGCCATTAAAAAGGACACGGCGGCATACGGAAACGGCTTCCTTGCGGCGGCTTCCTTGCGGCTGCGGCGGCCCGGCCTTCAGCCGGAGGCTTCCGATGTCCAAGACTTCCTGGAAGAAAAACGCGGGTCTCACGAGTCTCACGCAAGCTCAAAGCTACGCACTCACTGCCCCTTCCGTCCTTTAGCGCCGGCAGCACCTCTGCAATGCTGTCGACTTTCAGCAAGCCCTGACAGCAGCACACTCAGCATAAAGCGGCCCTTGCCACTGCTGAACGTCAGCTGCAACACGAGGCTGCGCTTGCCTGGAGAGCCGCCACCTGGCTTGGAAGCCGTATCTACGACTTTGCCGCACTGAGTATCACTTAGTCATCCGACGCAGCTGTTCACGCACAGACACCGTCACTACCATCGTACTGAAATGCAGCAAGTCCAGGCTTACGGCGCTTGATGGCGTTTGATAAAGCAAGGATGAGAGGGGAGGTTGATGGTGAGGGTGAGTGGTGAGTGGTGAGTGTGGGGTCAGGGAAAGGGTGAGGGTGAGGGTTGGAGCACGGCGGGAGGTCTCTGTTCCTTGACGTGCCTGGATATGTCTTGCAACTTACGGACCACTGGGGAAGTCGCAATGCGGTAAGCGGCAACATGCTCGTCACAACTTTGGACCAGCGTCTCGGCACCTCACGGGTTGAAACCAAGCGACACTGCTGCAAACTATGAACGAACCGCTCGGCTGGGCCCGAAGCATGAATGCAGTTCGGCTTTGGAACACCGCATGGTGGACGACAACGAGTTCAGCAAAGCCACCTGCAGCTAGACCGAAGGCTGTGGCGTTGGCGGGTGTTTGACTGCGTGATCACATTCTTAATCACCGCGTGTGCCTGCGCAGAATTTGTCTCCACCATTTCCGTAATCTTCTCCAGGCATTGACTGATGGATGCTCCTCAGCGATCGAAACTCTTCTGGTTGGCGATGATGATGCGACAACTCGGGAGCGGGCTGTCAGCATCAGCAAGCTGTAGACCGAGGGCGACTTCGCTCCACACCTGCAATGTCAACGTACGGTGTCGCACTCCTAGTCCGAATGCATCCAAGCAACCTGATCGAAGCTTTCCATCATGACGTATCGCAGGACACTATGTTTGCGGACGCTCACGAAACAGTTGAGCCGAATGCTTGGCGATAGACGGAAGCCACCGGGGATCTGAATCATCTGCTCGAACTCGACACTTCCAGGATCTAGGAAAGTGCGAGCTATGCGAGCTGTTTGGTGTTGGTGGACCTGTGGACCTGCAAATGTTATTCCCGTGAGCCCCTGAGCTTATACCCGGTGCTGAATAAGCTCGAGAACCAGACTTGTGCGTCACTTTTGGGTGGTCCTCAAAACCTCACGTCGCAAATTCGTAAGTCATGCCACCGCGGAACTTGCGCAGTGTGCTCACTGTCCCTTTCTTTCTGTGGGCCCTGTAGGACCCTCTAGACCGCTGCTTAGAAAAGATCGGATACGTCTCACTGCACCGATGATCACTGATGAAAAGACCAAGCTATTAATCAGTATTGAAAACTATGCCTGTGCATCTTGCAGCACTACTGTTCTTGCGCCTTATGACCTGCACAGTGCCACAAACTGAATTCTCCTTGGGCGTCAACAACCAAGCCTTCCAAAGCAAAGAATGCAGAGTAACCACGTTAGGCCTCGTCGTTGCTTCGCAGCCTGCTGTGAAACGCATTTTAGGAAAGACAGCTACGCGTGAAGTCAAGAAAAACAATAGCGGAATCATAAGCTTCCAGCTTGACGATAAGTTCGTGAACTCGCTCCACCGCCTGGGCCGGAGACGCGCCTCGGATGTTCGTATCATTTCGCATCTACTCTCTGTACGTCTGCCAACAGGCCTGAAAACACTCAGGGAGCGACTTGGTGGCAGCTTTAAAGACGGGAAGACGTCTCCCCAGGCCTGCCAGGGAGGGGGTGCGTGCGATACAAGTACTACAGTACTTGTAACTCCTTCCTGGAGCCGAAGCCATTGCACGCCAGAGATGGCATCGAGAAGTGGCATTCAGTTGTTCCCGCCATTGCCAATTTGCTGAATGATCAACTGATCCGGAGAGGGCTAGCAATTGCGCTCCCAAACAATCCAAAAACGGCCAAGGAACGAGGAACATGAAGAAAGCACGAGTGATGCCTACTCGTTAATACGCAGAGCTAACTCGTCCTGTGATGTTCGCAACTCTTGCTATTCTGCATGGCCTTCTCCTTCGCACGGTGCCTGAGGTCACCAGCGCACATTCTGCAGCGATTTCGGCAACATCGAGCAAGCATGAAAAGCAAACCTCGGGCATGGGCGCTTCAACCACACCGACGAGCTTCTCTGTCAGCTCCGTGGTCGAGCTATCTGAGCAAGGCTCAACAGTCACGCGCTGGGGACTCGCGTAGATCGCTCCGAAGCCTTCGGGAAGCTCTAGCACCTGGGCCATCCCACGCGAGGCCTGCGAAGCGCCATTTCACCCACCGCGGCTGCGGCAAACGAACATGGAGGGTGATCCGAGCCTGCATCCAGTCCTCTTGCCTGCATGCTCACTGTGAAAATTCTAGTTGAACTGTGTGAAGAAAGCTGGAAGCATCTGCTTGTAGATCTTGGCTTCTAGCGACCTTTGGAGACCACCAACACTCTCCAGAATTCGTCTAGGTGAACAACCTGACATGTTTCAACCACAGCAGTCACTGCCATGGGACACTGTCTTCCTGAGCCAGTGAGTGGGATGCGTACCATGTGGCAAGCGTAGACCATTAGCAATGTCGTTGCAAGCCTCGCGGCATCTGAAACAAGCAGAAAACTCTCATCAACCAGCCCTTCTTCGTGGCAACACGACATTCCGCCCCCTCAAGGGCTTCTGCTGCTATATGCTGCTATGCTTCATGCACACTGCCGCTGCGAGCACCCGCAATGGCTTGATTACTTGCTTCGCTGCTTCGAACTGTTGTGCATTGACAAGGGCTGTACACGGAGAGCAAAACACAAACCAGGGAATGGCCTCATGGCAAAGATTGGCTCTGACAGTTTGAAGATGGGGGTGGCGTGCCAACTCTTTTGTGCGTCCATCCGTTTCTAGCACACAATCAATGCACCGTGGACCGAGACTGCAAAACTCTTGTCCAGGATGGCTAAACTGTGGCAGTTCGCGTCTGAACCTGGCGTGCACATTGAGCCTTCACTCAGCCCACCAGCATCTCCTATTTAGGCTGGGGTGGGTGGCTGCAAAAGCTGGCTTCTGCTAGCATCACCGCTCTGAGCGAAACACTGCTGCTATTTTCTGCTGTGACAACGCTCGTGCATGTCATTCAGGGCACCAATGCAGAGCGCGAAAGCTGGCCTTCTCGTTCGCACGGTGCCTGAGGTCACCAGCGCACATTCTGCAGCGATTTCGGCAACATCGAGCAAGCATGAAAAGCAAACCTCGGGCATGGGCGCTTCAACCACACCGACGAGCTTCTCTGTCAGCTCCGTGGTCGAGCTATCTGAGCAAGGCTCAACAGTCACGCGCTGGGGACTCGCGTAGATCGCTCCGAAGCCTTCGGGAAGCTCTAGCACCTGGGCCATCCCACGCGAGGCCTGCGAAGCGCCATTTCACCCACCGCGGCTGCGGCAAACGAACATGGAGGGTGATCCGAGCCTGCATCCAGTCCTCTTGCCTGCATGCTGCCACATGCTATACTCTCTTGGCATCTGCCACTTTCGACATCTGAGCTTCGGGCGCCTTTGTGATCCCTCGAACCTTGCCCAGCAACTGCTCGATTGAGGCGTCTTGGCTGCAAAGCACACATGCGGATGTTTGGCATTTTGAGATGTGCGGCTTCGTCCAAGGCCAGCACCACCTGGAAGCTGCAGGCCCAGGGCAAGCTCCTGCATTACCGGGGTTTGTGCTGATCGGTATGATGTACGAAGAACACAAATCAACGTCCTGCATTGACACTTGCTGCCTCCGACATGGTTACTGGTACATGAAACTTGAAACTTAAGCTGAATTGGTCCCATGCCTCTTCGCTGATGCCAAAACACTCTGCAGTCTGTGAAGGGCCTCCGGCCGCCGGTCGGAGCAAAATCACAGGCCGTCATGGGCTTGGAATCGCCATCGGCCTTGTGAAGCTTGACCGGGCCCCAGTGCTCCTGCACAGCGTACAGGCCACTGCCGCACTGCATCCTCTTTGACACAGCAGCGCTTATTGCCGTGCCGGACCCAACAATTCTTGTGCAACGGCCTCATGGCCGTGCCATGCCCTCATAAACGACGTCGCAAGACCTAGCCCTGGCCGAAGCAAACGACGAAAACTGGGGTTCTCAAGCTCAGACATGGGTGTGTTCCCTTTGTCTTGAGCCAGGCAAGCCTTCATTTTTGCGGGAATGACCGTGCCGCCAGGATCCAGCAGCAGCGGTTGAAAGAGCACAGTGACATACATATGGGCACCTACAAACACCTTGTCCTGCCTCCTGGCATTAGGCATTGGAGGAAGAGGGATCGCAAACAGATGGAAGGAAACCGGAGAGAGTTAGGCTCAGCTTCCAGCCATTATTTGCAGCCATTCCCGGCTGTGTATCAGCCCCACCGTGGTGCCGGTCTTATATGTGCTCTGCCCACCCCGCCCAAGCCACTCCCACCTCACCTCCCTTCACCCATCCAACCCCCAACCCCACCTCTCGCCCCCACCTCCCCTCCAACCTCGCACTCCCGTCCCACCTCCACCAATCCTGTACAGAATATACAACGGCTTATCGTGCAGAGATGCAGCAAAGAGGAGGATGAGCCCATCTGCATGTGATGTATATATATATATATATATATATACACACATATGTATGTATGCACGCATGTATAGGGCCCCAGTTACCGCAGAGCGTGGAAAATTGTGGACCCCCAGCAAACGCCATGGGGTGCGTCTGCCGGCTACGGTCATCCAGTGCATGATCCCATGTGTACCATGCACAAGCTGGGCCTCCAGGTTTGGCCCTCACTCGACATGATGGTGCTCATGAGCACGAAGGGCACACTTTGCAAGGTGGCCATGTTGACCATTGCTTTGGAGCACACATTCGCATGCTGCATGGTAGAGGAGTTTGCAGCTGGCTTGAAGACACACAGCCAGATAGTTGGTCAGTTGGCCAGCCAGCCAGCCAGCCAGGCAGACAGATGCAGACATGCACAGACAGATAGAGACAAACGACAGAGACGATGGCAGACGGTGAAAGACGGACGGACCGGCAGACGGGCAGACGGGCAGACAGACAGACAGACCGACAGACTCATTCATCAGTCTGTCTCGCTTTGGTGTGTGTGACGTGACGGCTCATTGCAAAATAAACTGTGGCCAGAAGCACCGAGCCTTCAGCGCCTCCAACGTACCCTCAGCCAGCCTTGCTCATAGCGAGCGAAGGAGAACATATCTGTATGTGTAAGCACTGGTAGGCGGCTGGCTCTAGACATGTCTGCGTCCGTGCATTCGCTGCGGCATCTTCCAAAGACCTGCGAACACGCATCAAAAGTATGGACTGAACTGTCCTGTGCATTGCTGTGCTCGCTCAGCGCGCCTGCAGTGCTGAATCAGCCGACCGACCTCAGAGCCGGCGAGGACCCGTTGAAAGGGTCTTAAGATCGAGAGCGCTGCGGCGCTGCAGTGTTGTCACCCCACGGCTCCCCGCCTCCGGCACCACTTCTGCCACGCTGGGCACTCGCACGAGCCTGCACCGATCCCAGATGATTGCAGGCTGCCGGCACGGAACGGAATGCGGTCGCGTCCTGCACAACTCCACTAGCACTGCACAGAGATCCGGCTTGGCCAGCTGCTCCTCTGTGAGACAGGGCGCGAGAGAGAGAGAGAGAGAGAGAGAGAGACGAACGAACGAACGAACGGAAGGGAAGGGAAGGGATCACGGAGACGGCTGTGGCGGCTGTGGCGGCTGTGGCTTTGAAGGCAGGGAATGAGAATCGGCTCGGCCTCCAAGGCCGCTGCATCTAGGCCAAGGCGCCGCAGCTCCTGAGACGAAGCGAAACGCGATGCGCGGCGCGAAACGCCAACGCCAACTCTGCTTTCTGCGGCCCACCTTGTCACGCTGAATGAGACTCCGCGTGTCTGTCGTCTTCCAAGCTTTCCGCACCTATCAGGAGCTCATGCGACGACTTCCTACAGGTCCTGCCCTTAATTTGGTGCGAAGGGCTTCCAGGTCGATGCTTTCTGCGGGTGGGCCCGGAAACCGCGAAAATGAGCCTCGGCCAGCTCCTCGCGTAGCTTCAGCACCTTGACGCGGTCAGAAGTCACGCATTCTCACAGCTCACATGCTGCCTGCATGCTGCAATGGCAACTCTGGCTTGTTGAAACCCACTATTCATGCTCGAGTCTGCAGGCGGCCCAACACTATGGTGATGTTCGACACATCAAGGAGTCCCAACTGCAGAAGACTGTTCTACCCCACACCCCACCGCACGCAGATAGACCCTCGAAGGAATCGGCACCACCTGAGGTGCAAACTTCTCGCTGCAGCCTGGTGTCCACGGGTCGCGGCTCCCTGCATGTCGTTGGCAACCGACCCTTCTGTCCACTTTCCACGTGTTCAAGATACTTGAGAACAGAGCAGATAAAAGCTAGTAGGAGGTAAGGTCAGCAGCCTTCTCTCGTGTGGCGCTGCGCGAAATTGCATTGCAGGCGTTTTCAGGAAGTCGAAACAGGCGGATGCCGCCTGTTTCGTACTGCAGCCGTTGATCAGCCACTAAGGTGTGCGGCGGGGGTCCCCCCCCATGTTGGTGCTTAGATCCTGGTTCCCTGGTATAGCAGCAGCCAGAGCCCCCTCAAGTGTGGTTTGACCCAAAGCAAGCCTCTAAGCAACAACTCCCGGAGCAACAAGTACCAGTAGCTGTCGTGACATTGACCGTCTCACTCTTAAAGGATAGCACGCGGCGCCTGGCCCTCTCATGAAGCTCAATCTTGAGCTTTGCGACTTCCTCCTGACACGGTCTTCAAGCTAAACTCACCCAGGGCCCAAGACTCTTCCCTTCCTGTCCTCTGCTTCTCGACAAGAGGCAGAGAGCCGGCTGATCTGGCGCAGACGCAGGGTCCAGGAGACGGCAGAGAGCGGAGCAAATCGTTTCACAGGTCGGATGTCCGCCTGCTCGGAATAGCGCAGATGACTCTCCTTCAGCTGTTCCTTTGCACATGACGCACTTGGCACAGTTTCTCGACTCCATGCCGGCGTGAGTCCCTATAGGCCCCAGTCCTCCAACCCCACTCTTCGATCTCTTTCCTCGGCAAGCGCCTCAGATAGGCCAATACTTCGAGGTGACAATGAGTGGAAGGCTGCGCGGCTGCGCCTCAGCATCGCCTGTGCTTGTCTCCGGAGCATCCTGCAGGACTTTCGAAAGCGTTTGCTGGCCGCTGGCCCAAGATAAAACAAGAGAGGCCTCAACCGTTCGCACCACCACGCGGGCTTTGACCGCCTTTGCCAGTTCGGCACGGCAGGATCCCTAATCACGAACGCTGTCGGGAATCATGCACAGCAAACGTGCTACGTACTGCCGGCGGCCACGCTCTTCACCCCCAGCCTGCATCTGTCGGAGTTTGTCTTCTGCCTCCTCCAACTGAAAACTGAGAATGTGGACCTGGGGTAAGCAAAAACAAAAGCAGGGTTCACCCGGCGAGGGTTTCGTCGTGCCTGCTTTCTGAGAGCCGACGCTTCTGCCTCGCTTGCTTGGCGGCTCCCGGGTCGAATCAGTTCAGGCAGTAAGGACGTGTCGATCTCCTTTTCCATTCTCGCCTCTCCGCTCTCCTGTCCTCCGCGCTCTGTCTTGTATCGACAGTATCGGCAGCGTCGCCAGAGCCGGATGGGTGAATCAGCCGCCGGGAACTGCTCATCGTGCGGACCACGCTTCGGCGGGCCGTGGACACGTGCAGGAACACTCTACGCTGCACGAATCTGCGGAGCCCTGGGCCCTCATCTGGTGGAGTCTCTATGACTCTCCGTGCTCCGATCCGCGGAACCAGGTTGGCAAACGTTCGGTGGTGGTGCGGGTCAGCTCTTCAGCCTGCACAAAGTTTTCAGCAGTTTTGGGGTGGGTGGTAGCTCAGGTTGTAGCGAATCCGAGCCTGCGGAGAAGAGCCGCTTGCTTTTCCCGGATCTCTGAAGCAGAAGTCAGGACCTGGTCGCCAGGAAGGGCACAGAGGTGAGTTCGGTCAACCTACAACGCAAGACACGTGAAACTTGTTGGACCTCCTGCAGGCTCGCCTCAGCATGGGCCACACCGCTTCCACTGACTACCGGCTACTGCACCTAAGCTGATGTTCGCATGACTGTGGAGGGGGTCAGTGGGGCAGCCTCCCTTTCAGACTCCATATGCAGAACAGCTGCAAGATCAGCATGAAGTGATGCCCAATTCTTGACCTCCACTGTGAAAAGTCAGCAACAACTACGAAAAAGACTTTGACATTCAGTTGCACCCGAGTGTGTTTGCCGAGTTTCTGGCCGTGTTTTTGGCATGAGCTGGAGAGCACGTCTGAGGCCTGTCCTGTCTCTGGTCTGCTGCGACACGGAGTGATCGCACTGTTGCGGCCAAGTCGCCACGAGAATAGAAGCCGCACCTGACCTCAGACCACTGCTACTGCCGCTCCACCGGGTCTGCTGTCCGTTCGTGTACCAGGACTCCCGCAAGGAGCCAGCATCTCCAGAAGTCGAAACCTGCAACTACCGCATCGCCTCTAAGGAGAAACGATGCACATCCCCAGTGCCTCCAAGCTTTGAGCCTCTCGCGATAGTCCTGCAGGGAGCGGAGTTTTCCGTGTTTGCGGCCAGATCAGGAACAGTCGGCCTCCAGCACCACTTCCAAGCCTGAGGACCACCACAAGACCCAAGAAGGCTCTCAATCCCAGGCCTCTGGGGCTGACACGGACTTGGTGCTCCCCAATCCTGGCTTCATGTCTGGGCAGGCCGCACACGCTGCCCACGCAGCCGCGGAAGGCCCGAGACTCTGAGGACGGCACACTGCGAAAATCTTCGGATACCTCCCGAAGCTTAGTCAAGTCGACACTCGGCACATGCCAAAGCCCGGTCAAGAAACGCAAACCCGTTCCAGGCTACATCACGAAATGTCACGAACTCATTCGCCGCAATGTCTGCCTCACTGATGTTACTTGAAGGCGGCTCGGGGTCCAACTTGACGTTCTGCGGTCGACGGAACATGCACTCGCGCAGCATGCAGTAATCCTGTCCTCCTTGGATCCTCCCAAGCCAACTCCTGCAAGCTCAGAGATGCAAACAACAGCTTCCTCACCAGAGTGTGGGGCCCAGTGCATTTTTCCATCCTTTTTTCACAGAGCTGCAACTCTTGGCCGATGATTTACGGGGGGCTTGGCTGACGAACCCCTGAATGGAAAAAGATTACAAGCCTGTCAACCTGTCCTCGAATCTCAGGCTGTGCTGCCTTCGAGGTCCTCGGCCGGGAGCGCTCTACGACTCTACAACATCCAGCTTTCCAGGCCAGTCTCGGCTGCAAACCCTGTCGAAGCTGCCATGGCTGCAGCCTCAGCAGCTCCAGGAACAGGCACGTCCTGCCACACCAAAGCAGGGCAGGATGTCGCTAAGCACTAAGGAGGATATTACCTTCTATGAGGCACTATCATGCTTTATTCACAGGCCTTGTCTCGCGGATGCGCTACACCTTGCGAGCATGTAGCTGCAAGATGCAAGACCTGTCCCACTCGGTGCAGACACTGCCTCCATCGGAAGAATGGGCTGAATGCGCGGATCCGGCAGACCTCAGCCACGGGTGCAGTCACAGGGAATGCTTTGCAACAGCCGGCCGAGGCCCCAAGCGAATCGGACCATGCCGCTCCGGAGTCCAGTGCCTCGGAATTTGAACTGTGCATGGGCAAAGCTTCCCAGCACTTCCCCGCTTCCTTTGCACTCCGGGGCGCCTGCCTTTCTTGAGCTGGCCTCTCACGTTTGAGCCCGATCCGTGTCACCCCCTCGAACCAATTTATCCGCAGCTTGTAGTTTTCTTGCCTCCACTAATGCCGTGTTTCAGCGCCCTTCATGTCATCTACTGGCCGAGCTGGCTTGGCGAACTCTGCTGGCGAGAACAGGACAGCTGCGACGACGACACACACGAAATCCACTGGCGGCCAATGTGCTTGCTCCTTAAGCCTTGCGAAGCGAGGTAGGTGAGCTGACTAGTTTGGACACTTGTTGACCCAGAAAACTGCACAACTGTTGTCCGCCACCTCATTGTGCAATGCTTGTACCAACCCGTGCTTGCAGCACGTTTTGCCTGGCCTCCTGTCGGGTAGTTTTTGCGGAAACGATACTCCGATATGCGATGTCGTCATAGTCATCACTGCCAACATCCTTAATCAATGCCATCACCACGATAGGCGCCAGCAAAGTGTTTCGTTGAATTTGGCCGTTCGACAGCATGGCATTCAGTGCACGTCCCCATGCTTGCAGGCTTCCGCTACCTCTGCTGGTCGGCCTCGTTGCGAGTTGGCCACGGGCGCTCTCTACATCGAATGCGTTTCGGTTCAGAGCCGGCTACTCCTGAAAAAGTGCTGCACTTGAGACATGTTGAGACTGGGTCATGTCAAGCTACCGGGTCCAGCGATGGGACAAAGAACAGAAATAGATCCATGCTATGCCGGATGACCAGGCGTCTGCCTTCAAACATAGGAAACACAGGGAAGGAACACCAACAAAGTACCCAAATACTTGCTCGTTTTCTACTTGTACAAGAGATTATCGTGTGCCTCAGACTCGCTCCCGACCATGTCCGACACGAAGCTTGCATCTTCATCTTCATCCTCCGGAACCAGACAACTGAGCTGGGGAGCTCGGCTCTTCTGCACACCTCTCCTGTTTCACCAGGACATCGTCTCGACTGTCAGCACCTGCGGAGAGGACCACCATGAAAGCGCATGTCTGTGCACATGTGCTGCTTCCATAGAAAAGAGCTCCACAAGTTGAGATGGGGGCTCTTTTTCTCATCCTGAGAAGCAGCAAACGGGTCCTTTTCCTTGGATGCTGCAAACCAGCTCTTTGCGAAGTGTGAAGAAGCGCTTCGTTGCCTTCAGGGCTTTGATTCCTTCCTCGTCCTCGTCGGGAGGCTTTCTAGACGAGGGCCTATGCAGGCGACTAAAGGCCTTCGGCATTTGCCGATGCTTCTCCAGAAGCTTCCGGTAGTGGCCATCCTGACCGGAAACAAAAGCCCAGGCCCAGGCTCCAGAAATCTCCAGAACAGAGCTCTGAGGACTCTGCGCAGGGATGGTCCCAGGAGCTCTCCTCCGTTTCGAAGTTGAAGTAGAACACCTTCCCCGGATCAGTGCAGGAGCCGGGGCTCTCCAGTGCCAAGGCCCATTGCCTCACCCTTTTCAGTGCAGGTCTTCCACCTGCGACAGAAACGGAAGCGCCGAAAGACGCCGCTGAAAGCGACTGCTCGCCGAGCTTGGCCAAGGCACGGCTTGGGCACTGGAGCTGCGACGCCTTCTCGCGCTATCCACAGCAGGTGCCTCTCTCCAAGGTAGTCACTGGTAGTGGCCAGTGCTTCCCAGTCATGGCCCATGACAAGCTCGAAGCTCGGGCCTCTCTGCTTCAACATCCATGCCCAAGTACTCTGCATATTCCAAGACCTTGCTCTGCAAAGCCGCGCAAACAAGAAAAGGCCTCTGCGTACCTCTGCTGAACAAGTCAGCGGGTTGCCAGCCTGCTCCTCCGTAGGGGGCTCATCCTGCACAGACGAGGCACTGCTGCCTTGGCATGACCAAACCTGCCTTTCATGACTCCTCAGTCCTCGTCTTCCAAGATCTCAATCTCCGACCTCGAAACAACTGGCCACTACATCCGTCTGCATCCCGCTACCGCTTCCTCTCCCTCGGCCTCCCTCGGGCTCTGGTGGCTTTGCTGGCTTTAGGCACCGGACTGGGATCCTGTACTGGCCGCGGCCTATGTGCAGAGGAGACCATGTGCCGACTCAGGGTGGCAAAAAAGGAAGGCACGCTGAGCTCGCTGCCATCTTAGGCGCTGCTAGACTCGAGAGAGCAGCAGTGGGGGGCAGGCGCTGCCTATCTTCCCGCGTAGATGCGCCGCGCAACTGTCAGCTGTGTAAGGTTTGCCGTCCTTTGCTCGAGCCATCGAAGCTGACCGGGAAGTGTTGCGAGCCATGTCGAAGTCAAACGCTGGAGCTGGAGCCAGTAACTAGGAGTAACTAGCCATTAACACACTAAGGTGCTCTGCCTGCGCAGCTTCCGACGCTGCCTTGTGAGCTATAAGCGCCTGGCGGCGCTAATTTGGCAACACTTCCATAACTTTAGAATTCTGCGCCTCCACGGTATCTTCACGAGCGGCCTCACCAAACTGCTGTCAAGCATTCGGCAATGGAGGGGGCCATTGAAGCAGCGCTGAGAGTATATTTGGGATTCGAATGTCCCAAACCCCGATTCACATGAATTCTGACGCAAACCCTTGCAACCGAAGACTGTGACTGTTTTCGAACATCACTGTTGTGCTGCTTGTCTCGGCCTTCTTCGAGATGCGTGCCAGAGCTGAACGCTCGCGATCCTCAATGATTGAGTTTGTTCACCAGATTGCGCTCCGGTTGAGGGTGTTCGCGTATCTCCTTGCGCTTGGCGGCGTCTGATAGCACCTGCTCCAGACGGGATTTCATTTTGTCCAGCTCCTGCAAAGCATTCAGCTGGAAATGTGTAAGAGTTCATAATACAGCTGGAAGAAGCTGTCCCGCTCGCGCTGCCGCGCTGCAATCTGCACAATGCAAGCAATGCAAGCAATGCAAGGCCAACCGATGCGAGTCTCCGAACCCGCCCGGACCAGAAGAGGCCTCCGGCCTCAGCTTTCTGGGCCCGAACCGTGAGCTCCTGCAGCTGCCGGTCGCGCAAAGCGCCTGCCGCCTGCAGCTTTTGCAAAGCCATGCAAAGCTCCAGGCGGCGATGCTTCCAGCTTCAGCTGCGGGCTGCGGGCCTGCCTGAGGAGATGGCCTTGAGGAGGGAGATGGGCCATTTGGGCTCCAGGTGCCTCACAGAAAGACTCTCGACTTGCAGCCAAAATGTGTGGCTCCACTCGGGGGCACACTTTGCGCTGAAGATCCGAAGCTGGTGTCACCACTCCTTGCGTCAGAAGCGCAGGAAGCCATCCGAAGTCAGAGACTCCCACTAATGTATGCCGATGTTCAATCAAGCACGGCTCTTTGCAAATCTTGCCGGGTCAAGATACCGCACACATTGAGTGAAACGATAAGAAACGATGAAAAGAGGTGAAATCGTACGGGGCAACAAGTTGTCACTGGTGCGTGTCGACAGCGAGTGTGCTGGACCTTCAGTCAGCGATGGTTCTTGCATATCTACTTTCGGGACTGACCGGCTGCTTGATTTGATGTGTCGATGCGTTGGTGCAGCTGAGGCTCGCTTTTCCTGTGCTTTTCCGCACGGTGTCCGGTCGTGCCGCTGTTCGCATTATCCTTGGCGGTAGCACGAACCAGACAGGTCTTAAGCTACAGAGTAGCATAGTACGAACTGAGTCGGTCTGTGTCAGCCTAGCTCTGTGTCAGCCTAGACACGGATCTCCCTTGGAGAGATTCTCATACCCGTCACCTGTGCGCCGATTGGAATCTTGCAGCACGAGTGACTGTCCTCAGCACACCTTTCAGACGATCTGACGGAAACACCGTCCTTCTTGAACTGGAGGCAAATACTCAGAAAGCCGGCTCACCAAAGAAGCACTGCTTCGCTGAGCCGTCCTTGGAGCGGCAGGCAATCGCGGTGTATGCGAACTATGCATTACGAGAGGGCTTTCAGTTCTTTTATCTTCCTTGTGTATGTATCTGTGCCCTGTGCGGGCCATCGAGGGTCCCAACCGGCTTGCGTGCTTTTGTTTGTTAGCTCTCAAACTCAAACGCGTTGCGACATCTAGTTGGCACCTGAACTGTTTGTGTCATGCTTCCCGGATCTCACTTCTGCAGTTCCCCTCATGTGCAGCTGCACGTCAAAGTGCTGTGAGCAACCGAAGCGGACTGGCAACCCAGTCACTTGGAATCATCCAGCATGGTGGACTTCATGTGGTCTCCAGTCAGGGGAAAGACGTGCGGCCACAGCTCGTACGCCCGCAGATCACCCTGCCGAGAGTACGACGTCTTACAGAAACATCAGCTCTCCGAAAAAATGCAGCCTGTGACAAGAGCATCCCATCAATGTCGTCGATGGGCTGCCCCTGAAGGTGGGCCAGGATTGCTGGGATGGAGTCAGCCTGCCGACCAACCACGCGGGGTTCACCAACTTACGAGCACCAGCACCATGTCCTTGGGATATGTACTGAAACCTCGATTTCTCGCATCAAGGCCTTGACCATGTATGCGCCCGTACCAGCATAGTGATACGCGGGGCCCCAAAAGTGCCACCAGAATGTTTCCTGCACAACCACAGAGTATAAAACAGCTTTCGGGGTCGAAGCACTGTGCAATCAAAGGCCTTGAAAGGCTTCCGCATCAAGTATGCATCTGGACAGCCGCTGTCATCATCTTTGTGGCCAAACTCGTGCTGGAAAGCTGCTTCGAGTTGGTCCACCAGCCCACTCTCCGGGGCATGTGACGTGGCAAACACCTGCACAGATCTGCCACGAATCGAAAACGGCATGAGACGGCAACTCCGAAGCAATAACCTTGGACTATGATGCCTTTGCTGCAGTTTGCAGCAGATGATGGCTGGCAGTTGCATTCCTGGGTGCACCACAAGAAGTCGCGACACTAGCAGCAAGAGTCAAGCTATCGTTCCATGACTGTATCAAATGCTCGTCGGCTGTCACACATTAAGCATCTTGCTGTCGTGCTCCTTTGCGCGTTGGAGCTCCGTATAGTATCCTGAATCATGTTGTGTCGCCCTGCGTGTCCGAAGCACAGCAGCTGCAAAAACAGAGCTTGTACCACACCTCGACATCCAACCACCTTGACCTCAGAAAGGCTGCACAGCACGAGCCGCTAAAATGGTATCATCCGAAGGCAGCAAACGGGCAATCAGGTTTGCTCAGGTGATACCGCATCATGAACCGACTTTGGCTCCCGTCTTTCGCCAATTCACGAGCGACCCGTCACGAAGAAATCCACGGACTAGGTTGGAGTGGGCGAAAGCGAATTTTGTGCAGTGGACGGCATGTGAAGCTTTGTGCTTTTCATCGTTCTGCCCCTGCATCCTCTGCCGCCGTCAGCGCGCTCGCTTCCTCTGGGTTTGTCTTCTTGCGCATCGTTTTGCTGTTGCACGGTCTCGCCGATCCTATTCACAGCCTCTGGGATTCTGGTGCAATTTCGCTCGGTACCTGGCTCTGCAGCCATGACATCAGCCCAAAGCTCGAGGAGTTCATGATGTTGCCCCTATCTCCTGCCAGGATCACAATGCCAGACAGATCCGAACGTGCAGGGAGGAGTCCTGGCTTCAGCTGCAGATCCGACGCGCGGTTGTACCCCCAACCAGATACCTGTACTGTGGCTCGGGAGATCAAGAATGCGGGAGTTGAGATCTGCGTGCCTTCAGCAAACTCCAGTCACTTGGAGCGCAGTCGAGCGTCTTCTGTATCAGGGCTTGCCAGTTGTGCCTAAGTGGCCACTACCAGACAGGCCGACACTGCAGAAAGAGCCTGCTGTGGCTTGCACGGTATCTCTACGTCATCCTCGAGGACCTGGGAAAGACAATCTCCTCAAACGCCTTACCATGCCTTACAATCACTGCTAGAAAGCCGGTGGCAACGAAACTTGGCGTCGAGCAATCGCAATCTGGCCCGGCTGCAGCTGCCTCTGCGGCGAGGCGGGGTTCCAAGGAGTCGCTAGGCGTCGCTGCGAACTACAGACCGCCTGTGAAGCATCTCTAGCAGCTCCGAGTGGCTGACGTAGCAGGCCTCAGAAGAAAATGCACGGAGCCAGGGTCACTTAGCCAACCCCGAACACGGTCACTTGGCCAATCGGAAACCGTATCATGTTTCAGGTCACTTAGCAAACCCCGTGCGGTCACTTAGCCAACCCTAGGGTTTAGGGTTTAGGGTTTTAGGTTTTAGGGTTTAGGGTTTCGGGTTCAGGGTTTCGGGTTCATCTTTGAGGGTTTAGGGTTGAGGGTTTAGGGTTTCCTTTCAGGGTTTAAGGTTTAGGGTTCAGGGTTTAGGGTTTCCTTTTAGGGTCTAGGGTTTAGGGTCTAGGGTGTAGGGTTCAGGGGGTTTTGGGTTTAGGGTTTCTTTTCAGGGTTTAGGGTTTAGGGTTCAGGGTTTAGGGTTTAGGGTTTTGGGTTTCCTTTCAGGGTTTAAGGTTTATAGAAATTGTTAAGGGTTTGGGTCCCATTTAATATTGACCGAAACGTTTTGAACGAAACGTTTTGAACGAAACGTTTTTTTTTGCGAACCATGTTTCCAAATCTCTTGGGGGCTGCGAAACGTTTTGAACGAAACTTTGGAGCGAGACGTGTTGACCGTCTTGGGGCTGGGGCGGCGGCTGGGGCTGGGGCTGGTCTTTGGGCCTGGATTTGGGGCTTGGGGCTTGGATTTGGGACTGGGCCTGGATTTGGGGTCTGGAGCCTGGATTTGGGGCTTGGGGCCTGGATTTGCAGGTCTAGAGCCTGGATTTCGGACTAGGAGCCTGGATTTGGGGCCTAACCTGGGTTTGGGACTGGAGCCTGGATTTGGGGCCTGGGGCCTGGATTTGGGACTGGGCCTGGATTTGGGGTCTGGGGCCTGGGCCTCTGGAGCCGGCCCAGAATCCAGGCTCCAGACCCCAATCGAGGCGCAGTCCCAAAGGCCTCCAAGGCCCCAGGCCCCAAATCCAGGCCCCAGACCCCAAAATGGATTTGGGGCCTGAAGCGGATTTGGGACTAGGCCTATTTGGAGCCTGGATTCGGGGCCTCGCCTGGATTTGGAGCCTGGATTTGGAGCCTGGATTTGGATTTGGGGGTCTGGGGCCTGGATTTGGGGCCCGGGCCTGGATTTGGGACTGGCTGGACTTGGGGTCTGGAGCCTTGGGGCTGGAGAGGGGAGCTTGGATTTGGGGTGGGCCTGGGGGCCTGGGCTTGGAGGGCCTGGTGCCTGGATTTGGGGCTGAACCTGGAGTCTGGATTTGGGGTTTGGGACCTGGATTTGGGGGATTGGAAGGTGGGCCTGGGTTGGAGGTTATGGAGAAATTGGTTTATCAAGAAGCTTGTTCCGTTTTTGATCGGGTGGCTGTTTTGAGTAACGCCAGTTTTATCCGAAATGCTGGGCCTTAGCGGTGGTTACAAACAAAGACAAGCAATTTCTATTTATCACTTTCTTGAGGGTTTAGGGTTTAGGGTTTCCTTTTAGGGTTTAGGGTTTCCTTTCAGGGTTTAAGGTTTAGGGTTTTGGGTTTCCTTTTAGGGAAACCCGTTTCCTTTTAGGGTTAAGGGTTTAGGGTTTCCTTTCAGGCTTAGGGTTTAGGGTTTCCTTTTAGGGTTTAGGGTTTAGAACCCGTTTCCTTTTAGGGTTTAGGGTTTACGGTTTAGGGTTAAGGGTGTGGGGTTTCCTTTTAGGGTTTAGGCTTCACGGTTTAGGGTTGAGGGCTTAGGGTTTAGGGTTTCCTTTTAGGGTTTAGGGTTTAGGGTTGAGGGCTTAGGGTTTAGGGTTTAGGGTTTCCTTTCAGGGTCGAAAGAGCAAGAGCGTTGCACTACGAGCATGTAATCAGAGCGCATGGGTCGGTCACAGCTTGCGCAGATTTTCTCACATGCATTGGGCTAGACTTCGGTTTTGGGTGTCTAGGTTTTGTGGCCACTTCTCCCACTCGTTTGCAAACGTGGGAGATTGCATGTTTTGGGGCCTGCTGAAACGCGGACAATCCGCGGAGCTGGTGTCGTGTGCTTGCCGCCTGTTGCCACATAGGGCGTTCCAGATGCCGGCAGCCACCGTTGAGACGCTTGTGAGTCAGGTGGTTGCCGAGTGAATGCCAAGCGTATGCATTGATTATGCCACGCAGCATCCCGTGCTTGCTTGCTTGCTGTCTGCTTGCTGTGATCAGTTCACTTGCACCACTTGTTGCGCAGGGCCGTTTCTGCCGGTGCAAATGCTCATGATCGTGTGAAGCGGCGGCCTCATGTCCTCATGTGACTTGCATGAGACTGCCTGCACCATC